GACAACAAGACATCGGCTAATGCCCAGGCCCAATGCGTGTTGATCTTCCGCTGCGCGCCGCACTCCTCTCAGCAGTGTTCCCGTCTCTCTGCCCGTACACAGAAAAAAATTCAAACAAAAACTAGAGTAGCAGGAGTCAGGGAATAGGTTTGTGGGCATTCAAATCACTGTAAGATCCTTTTTGCTCAAGCTGATATACTTTGAGTGTTGAATCATTTATTTTGCTGCTGTCTGGAATTATTTGGATATTTTTTCCTGTGCATAGCTCGATCAGGATTGCAGATAGGTTGCGTTGCCCATAGCTGACACCGTTGACGAACATCATGATGATGATGCTGGCCGCCGTGATGATGAAGATTAGCGTCGGCTGGCCGATTCAGATTGCAGATGCATCCGCGAACTTATCTGCCAAACAAGTTTCTCTCTCTCTCTCTCTCTCTCTCTCTCTGTCTCTCTCTCTCTTTCTGTTCCTGCTGCATGGTGCCTTTTGCCTACTGTTGCTGTTGTTGCAAGTGCAGCGGCAATATTTAAATTGTTTTATACATCGTTGTGCTGTTAGCTGCCTCCTCCCTCTGCCACAGCCTCTGCCCCCCTCACTGACTGGGCCAATGGATGTCCTAATGCGTAAGGCTGCGCAACCTGGAGAGGTGCCTGAACAGGCTGGGTATTGGGTATGGGGTATGGGGCTGTGGCTTTTTGCTTCCTAGTTGGGCTGCAATTTGATTTTCGCTTGCTGTAGCTGCTTTAAATTTCCGTTTATGCCTTTTGAAAGCTTGTAAAATGTTAAATGAAATTAAAATTTATTGCCCTGGCAGGCAGCGATTGACGTCTGCACATGACCAGGCCAGCACCCAGATGCCCGGACGGAGACTGCGACTACTGTGCCAGAGCCGATTATGAGTTGCAGGTTGAAACGGCACCGCTTGCTGCCCAACTGTAAGCCAAGATATCCAGATAGGTTTATTGGGTAATGAGGAGGAGGAGTAGGAGTAGAAGAAACCTTTTAGACTTGTTTCTTTAAAACACCATAGTATTTTGTCTTTATTTACTGACTCTGTGATTCTGGGCAAATTGTTTGAGTGGGAATTTACAATGCGGATACTTTTAACTGCTGTAGATGAGCCATCCATGTAGATGGGAGTGATGTGTGAGTGTGGCTGTAAAATAGGCAGCGACAACTGTACAGAAAATGTGCAAAGCTGCCAAATTGGGGGCTATAATAAAGCACTTATCTAAACGACATTGAGAGGTGATATACTAACAAAATGCAGATAAATGTAGGAAGACGCAGCAGAGAGTAGTGTTACAACTTAAAACCCATATAGAGTTCATGGGCAGCTCTGCTGAAAGATTGAACCAACGCGTAACAGGAACTGGGGCTACATTAACCCTATGCAAAAACCATATAGTTAGCGTTAGATTATACTCGTACTAGTCTCTTCTCAAAAAGGATTTATGTCAGACATATGTATTCACTCATGGATGTGAGTGATCCATGATCTTCATTCATCAATATATAGAAAAATTGCCAGATTGTCTTGCGTGGAAAGTTCATTCTCACAGCATAAAAGCCTGCTTTTAGTTAGATATACTACTCAGAGTTATTGGTGGTCTACTAATACGTATGTACAATGTACATAAATCTTTCTCAAAAGCAAATTCATTATTAAAAGGTTGTCTAATACCTTAGCAAGTCACATTTAATATAACCTGATCAGGGAGATCATTAAATTTGAAAGATAATATTAACCTGATGAGCCAGATCGTAAAGCAATGCAAAAATAAATACATATACATACATTTATATTCTATCTATAGATGTTTAGTAATTTCAAACATTATTTTTTTTGGGGAAATATTTATTTTATTTATTTTTATTTATTAATTTTTTAAATTTATTTTTATTTATTTTTTATTTATTTATATTTAAATCTTTCTTGTTTGAGTAATTGCATCTACATTCAAATAGAACAAATATTTGTTCAGCGCAATATTCTGAGCAAAGTAACGGACCCACTTTGCAGAGGCCAAAACACAATTAGCCGCACAAAACAAGCCAAATCCTGTGCTTATTCTGTGGTGTCCCAATCGCCAGCCCACGATAAGCTATATTTGCTATAGCATAGCCATTGTTCCCAGATTGATCTGGTAATTCATTCATGGCTCGCTTTGGCCTTAGCTTAGCTGTGGCATCTCCTGCCTCTACTCCCGGCTAAATATGGACATTAAACAAAGCAAAATGAGAGCAACCGCAAATAGCAACAATTTTCCACTTGACTTGAGCGTTAGATTTAGCGAGTGGGCAGATGATGCTGGCCCAGGCATTTAGCAAAAGGAAACGGGTTGGTGGGGGGGGGGAGAGGCGAGCCACTGTCCCTGTCTCTGCAAGGGGCTGCTGCTGCTGCTGCTGCCCACATTTGCCTAAAAGGAGCCCAAACCTGTTGCCTACTGAAATGTAAATCTTGATGGTAATTTTAATAGAAAAAAAAAAATCGAGGCAAACCGTTGGTTAGCCCAGGCCCCAGTCCACGGTCCACGGTCCGCGCTCCGCAAGCCCGTCGTTGGGCGTAGAAAAATAGTTGGCTAACTAAGCCCCGGCACGGGATAACACTCCGCCAGAAACAGGAACAACAACAGCACACCCATGCGAGAGAGCAGGCAACACCAAATGTTTATTGTGCTATATAAATGGCAACATTTGCAGTTACCCTAAGACCGCTTCTTGCTACCTCTGCTGCTGCTTGTGCTGCTTGTGCTGCTGCTGCTGCCTCTGCTGAACGCATTCCTCTGGCTGAAAGTGGCTGCCACTCAGGTACATTGGCCCAATCCTGTCCTGCCCCAATCCCATCTTCCTCTCTCTGCCTCTCTCTCCCGCTCTCTGTCTCTCTGCCTCTCCTTGTGTGTGTCTCTATGATGATGCTGGGCTGCATCTGCAGCGCCCGCTGAGTGGACAAACCAGATATTGATAACGGCTCTTCGATGCTGTTACTTTAACAGCCGCATTGCTTAGGCCGAGGACAGGGACTGCAACTGCAACTGAGACCCCTCCATTGCTATCATGCAACATTTGCTGCTGCTGCACACAGCAACACTTCACTTGGGCTGTTTGTTTTCGTATGGAATTAAACGCCTTGGTGCACAGGTGCTGGCCAAGAGATGTCTTCTTGGGCCCAGCTTCTTCCACTTCCACTGCCACAGTGCCTCGGCATCGGCATCGGCATCAGCCTCTCAGGTGCAGCGCTTGCATTTTATTTGCAATTATTTTTGTAGCGCAAAGGAATTACTCGGCCATGGCTACGACTACGACTACGACTATGGCGTTGGCTTTGTCCATGGCTTTATCAGCGGCCCCGGCTTGGGCCATCTTCGAGTGGAGCCGAGCCGAGCCGCACCGAGCCGGGACAGGCGAATTCTAATTTTTACAACGCAGCTGCGCGCCAGTCCAGTCCAGGCCATGCCCGTCCCCATCCGCGTCCCCAAAAACCAGGTCCAGTCCTTAGCTCTGTTGGTGGCGCTGTTGGTGTTCATTACGCAAGAGGTGAATGCACCAGAGACGCCCAGCACTTGTCCAGGAATTCGCCCAGGGAGCGAATCAATGGACTAGTAAAGAACACCAGCCAGCTAAACACTTGAGCCAATTATAAATCCGCTGTTCCTGGCCTGCCCTGGCCTAGCCTGCCCTGGCCTGGCCTGGCTTATGCAAACATGTTTTGGTCCAGTCGCAAAAATATGCAAAAATCGAAACGCTCTCTTTGCCAAATAGCAAAGGTCAGGCCGAGCATGAAACGTCAACGATTTGAAGGTTGTTCTCATGCAGCGCGCTGTCCGCGATCCACATCCAAATCCGACACCAAATCCGCATCCAAGCTCGAGCTTCACTCTGCCAAAAGCAGATTCATTAGCCAAGTTAATAATTAAAAACAACAACAACAAAATCGATTCATTGCTGGCTTGCAGCAGCGCTTGGAGTTTGACTGAAATTTATTACAATCCAAACAAAGCACCCAAAAAACCAGCAAATGGCAGAACGAAAAAACTTTAACAAACGCCGTTTAAGATATACCCTTTCCCTGCAATTCTTCCAGCAAGAATCATATTTTCGAGAGCTATATTTAAGGGATGGAACAAATTCTGGAAAACTAAATTTAAAATGAGATAACAACAGAATATTCAGTAGAACTTTCTTGTCTACTAACCCGTTCTAAATCATTTTGATATGTTCCCTTTCTGTTCTGTCTGTGCAAATATTGTTAACAGTCTCCAAAAATAGTTTCTTCTTAATTTTACAAACCTCTTAACAAAATTGTAACACCCCTTTTTTAGAGTGTGATAAGATGTTGTAGCTGCGAAGAGGCTAAAAAAAGAAAACGCAGTCACAAATATAAACTTCCGTATTTGCCAAATTGTTGTATGAACTTTTGTTTTGGTTGTTTTTTTTCTCTTCGTCTGTCGGTGGGTACAATAATTTACGACAACCTGAGGACGGGGCAGGGCCAAGGGGGCGGTGCGAGAAGGAATGAGACAATTCGACGCAGAGACTGAGGGCAGTCTCGCATAATTTTGGCAAACTTAGCTGCGGGCGAAGGTCCGAGACGGGGCCCCGCTAGACCAGTTTTTAAATTACATGCAAAGCATTCCAAATGCAAACTAAAACATTTATTTTATTTCATTTCATTTGTTGCCGTTGCCGTTGCTTCTTTATTGTTGCTGTTGTTTCGCCGCTTGCTATTGGCGACTTGTCTTCCTGCGCTTAAGCTTTTTGTGTGTATCAAAAATTTAAGCAAAATGCAAACAGCATGAAACCCACAAAAAAAAAACCAGCAACAACAAAAAGAGTGGAGCCACAAAAACAAAGCACGAAACAGCAACAAAAATCGCACACAAACTAAAATTTATTTCAAGGGCAAATGCGCGAATTTTTTGTTCGAATTTTATCTTTTTTTTTTTTTTTTGGTTGCAGTGCGTCGTCATCAGCTCGAGTTTTCAATACACTGCCATTGATGGGGTGGGGTCTCTTTGGTACGAAGTCAGGAACCACTCAATGTGATTCGATAAATACTCTTTATAACCTGAAAGTTTTTAATATAACTAAGGAACATTTACTGGCACGCTGGTATGATCATTTTATGGGTGTTTACTTAAGTCATTATACATATAAACAACTGATAATATTTTTCAGTTGTTGGTTTTTTATTAAGCTTGAGTAAAAACATTGCACTTTAAATATTAAAAATAAAGAAAATGAATAGTTTGTTTAGTTATTACAAATGACATGTAAAATAGATTTGTTAATTTTGTTAATTTTTTGTATTATATATTTGTATTATTTTCTATAATTTCGCATACCTATTGCAAGAAAGATTGGAATAAAAAACTTAATTCGTAAAAATCCACCTAAGCGCATCTCATGGTCGTCATTTTGGCAAAGATTTTTCCTCCCATTTTTTCGGGCAATTTTCGCTTAATACTTTTAATAAATTGCCCGGCGCCAAGCCCAAGCGCTTCGCTTTCGGCGAAAACTCAACTGAAGCGCTTTAGATTTATGCGTCGTGGCAATTAAATTCATTTAACGTAATTTATGGGCTGCCCCAAAATACTCGGGGGTGACATAATTGAGAGAGCGCCCACAGCTTCCCAAGTCGATGGTAAGTCGCCAAATGGCAGGCAGGCAGGCAGTGGCAGACACTAAAGTTTTATTTCTGGGCGGAGTGGGGTTCATCAACCTGCAGGAATTATAATTGGAGTAAACAAGAAATTTACGGCTAAGTTTTGATATTCTGAAAATCGGAAATTGGGCTAAGTAAATTACGCGCATTTGGCCAAAAGCTAAACACCCACAACGAGGCGGGCGGGTAAACAAAGAAAACATATGTACATACATATCTACGGTAATGAATGTACATATGTACATATATACAGGTATGGGTATGTACAATATATAGCTCTATTAAACAGATCACCGCAGCGTGTAATATTTGCATTATAATCAACATCCAAAACAACAACAAAATTCACCCCGATAAAAACCATATTGTTCTCGATCCGAAACAAAAAAGAAAAGGTGGAGGAGTGCCTGAGAGGTAAGGTGTGCAGATGGCGCCCTACTTTTGGCCGGGTACTCGTATTTGTGTGCCGTGTCGGTTCTTATACAACTTTGGGCGCAATTTAGGGCATCTATTTGGGTTTATTTGTAAAGCAAAAATGGTTAATGTCTAAGACGCTGCGGATGCTGAATAAAACGAAACACATGTGCGGAAATTTGTAGCCCATTGGAGGTCTAATGCGAATTTTGCAAAACCAAAAACCAATCTGAAAACCAAAATAAAACGCAGTACAGCCAGAGGCAGAATATAGCGCATACGCAGCGTGAGCCGTGACCACACACACACCCCGTAGTCGCATGGCTTAGCCTTTGTCTCGAAAACCAATTACCTTTTTATGGCCAACAACAACGGCATACAAAACTCACTTTCATTTGGCCAAAAGTTGTGCCAAGCTGCAGTGGCCCCCGATTGATATCTCCGATTAGATATGGCTTGAATCGCCTGCACCGACAGCCAGTGACTGGCAGCAGGGAGAGAGGTTGGGTCAGAATGGATAGCGGGTAATGTGGGGTTGGGCTTTCAACTAACTAAACTGTTCTAATTATGTGTAGTAAATAGATAGCAGGCAAATAATTGATTTCCTTCTTATATGGAGGAAATAAATCTTTGAAGCAAGCGAAAAAGTTAAATGAGAATAAATGATGAATGCGATCACCTTCCTTCATCAATTTTTCTCAGCATTCAGTACATATTTTGTGTACTTCGAAAGTTGGGAAAGTTTACAATGATAAATTCTTGCAATAATTGAAAAATCATTTAAATTTTTAATCATTCAATGAATATTAAATTTATATTTCAAACCAATAACCATTGAAGAATACTTCCATAACATTTTGCTGACCCAATTCAAATTAAATGGTCATTTATTATTCAACGATTATGACTATGACTGATAATTTTTTAGTCCATGTTCCAAATCTTAAATATTTTAATTGGTTCCACCTTAAACTGAGCTTAAAGGCCCACAATTAATGCACCATCGACTAAGCGAAATAAATTGGTTATTCGCCAGAGTTCAATGTCAAATGTTACATTTTGGAATAGTTTTTAAATATTTAAATTATATTTTTGCCACTCTTTGATGTTTGCCCACTCTCGACTCACCGGCTAATACGTAATGCGGTTGGTCGTACAAAAAAAAGGCGACCAACAAATGCCAACAGGTCCAGAGTTTGTTTTTTGTCGTCGTTGTTGGCCAAAAACGAAAACGGAAACACACAAAAACCGAACCGAAAAGCAAACGCAGCGCCAATCCGTAAACGTTGCCAATCATTACGACAAACGATGAAACGACCTTGCCAATTACCGATGTGCTGGTGTATCCACTCCTTCCCTCTGCACCCACTCTCTCTCTCTCTCTCTATCTCTCTGTCTTTTGTGACCCCATCCTGGTGCTGGTAATGGTGCTGGTCCTGGTCCCGCATTAAGCCTTTCCTCTGTTTGCGTATGCGCGCCGCATATTGAGTGGGTGGGTGAGGATTGTGGTTGTTGTGGGTGAGTGGTTGGTTGCGTGTGTGTTTTAGTCTTGTTAAAGGTTAAATGCGAACCTAAAATTAAGCCAGCCAGCCAGCCAGCCAGCTGCTTCTTTCTCTTCGGCCGCAACTAAGAGAGCAAGAGCACGAGAGAGAGAGAGATACAATGCTCGCAAAAAAGCTTGCAAATAATTAGTGCAAATTTAACGCTCGCTTCTCTTTGGCTTCGGGTTCGTGTTCGCGTTCGCGTTCACGTTCGGCTGTGCGTGCGATCGCGGTTACCGCATAACCATCGCTATGCATGTGTGTGAGTGTGCCTGTTGGGCGTTCAAATTGTTTTACATGAGGGATCGAGAGCGGGGAGGGAGCGTCGTGTCGTCAACGAGGGAGAGAAAGAGATTGGGAGAGCGCAAGCTCGCGCGTAAATTTTTGCACACATTTCTTGTTGCTTTTACTGGCAGCACAGCAGGCCAGGGGCGGCGGCCTAAGCTGCACGGGAGGGGGGGGTGTTAGCCAGAAAGGGCCAGAACTATAAAGAGAATATTTATCCCTCACCTTAGATTTCCGGGCATTCCTGCGCCACACCTTAGGGCACCTTCAAATTACTGAACTGCCGCCCTGTGTCGCGCGCTATGTGATCCTCATTTGCTTTTGTGGGCTTTTTGCAAAATTTTACGCATTTGATGCCGCTGGCTGTCAGCCCATCCCATGCCAGCCCTTCCTCTGCCTGCCCTTCCTCCGCTGCCCTGTCAAGTGCGAAGACCACGTTTTGTATTTGCTGTGCCTGAGTGTGCGTGCAGTCAGTAGCAGCAACAGCACTTTCCAGAGCCACTTAAGTGCCTCACAGCACATGTGCCGCAAGAACAGAGCATCTCTAACACACACACACACACACACACACTACACTTAAAAAAGAGATAGATAGAAAAACACTCACACAGGGACACCGAATATTCATTGCTCAGCTGGAAACCGGCAAGACGGGGCAGGGCAGGGCCCAGCCCGAGTAAGTCCAAGACCCGAAGTCTCAAGAACGATCCGCGTTCGTTGCCCATCTAAGTCTAAGCCTATTCTAATGCCAAGTGTGCGACAGTGACAGAGAGAGAGAGAGAGAGCGACAACTGGAGAGATAGAGGGGAAAGAGGGGGGAGCCACGGAGAGCGAGAGAGAGAGAGCAACTGCATCGGCAGCAACTCCAGCATTTTGCCACATGCGAAACATCGTCGGCTGCAACTGCCGCCGCTGCTCTTGCGACGGCTGAGGCAGCGACGCGACGTCGCGTCGTCTAAGTTGTTGCTGGACGTGTTCTTTTTAGACTTTTAGCATTATTTGCAGCATTTGCAACGAACACTCGCTAAAAACAACTGCAACCGCAACGTTGTGGCACGCGTTTCTATTGCTAGTGCAGAACGAGCAGCAAAAACAGCAACAAACAACGGAAAAGAACAAACGAACGAACGATCCAATCCGATCCGATCCTATACAATATGTATCCTATCCACCTCTCCCAAGCTGGATGAGAACAATCATTTAACGTCTTGTGAATATGCTACCAAGCAGCAACAACAACAACCAACTGTGAACTGTGAACAATCCGTATGCTAAAGCTAAACGAGAGTGCAACATGTGCCGCGCAACTTGCTGAACGAACCCCGCAAACCGATCCAATCGATCCGCAACGCAATCGGAAAACAGAAATCAAAGCAAAGTATGTGAGGGGATCTGTCAAAGGGGAGCGAACATAACATGGGATTACAGCTATTGATAGGCCGCCAAGTGGGAAAAGTCTGAAGGCAGTAAAAATGTTTATAGAATAAATTCCGACCAAAGGTAGCTGCTAGCTCCAGCTCCAACCCTACCGTTCCAGAATGTTTGTGCTGGGACGCTTGAATGACTGAATAAATAACTAGAGACTGGGTAATGGATCTCAATAGCTACGAGTATCTGTAGGATATATTTCAGATGATATAAGGATTCAATAGTAATACACACACATACATATGTACTGTAGAACTTTCTTCGCAAGAATGCTTTCTTTCTGCTCATAAAATTAGTTAGAAAAAATCAAAGCCCGAAGTCAAGTGCAACCAATGTAGTCGGTAATTTTCTGTGGAAAGCATTTAAATTGGCCAGAAGTTCGCAGTAACCAATTTGCATAGAACCCATTCTGATTCTGATTCTATGTATATCTCCCGCTGCAATCCCGAGCACAGAACTTCCTTCAAATGTAATGCTATATGGCACACAATTATCCCACAAATGCAAATTCCCATAACAATTTCTGTAAAAGCAAAAGAAAAAAAAACTGGAAATTCACAATTAATATTGTTCACAAGAAAGAGCCATAACAAAGGTGGACTAACAGTGGAGCGAGAAGCACAAAGAGAGACAGAAGCAGACACTGAGGAAGAGAATTTACAGGGACACGAAAATCAGCTGATGATGATCATCGTGTCAGGGCAGCCAGCAACGATCTTCATTATCATTATAACCGAATGTCTAACATGTGAGGAGCACATTTCCGATTTCCGAAAGAC